TCCTCGGGCACAATGATACCGACGAGCATCGAGTGGAGCGAGTCGCCATACACAAACGGCTGGGCGACGTACACGCTGCCCTTGATGATGTTCTCAATCTTCTCGGGGGCCACGTACTCGCCCTGCGAGAGCTTGTCTCAACGGCTTTGAGTGCGTCCGTGCCATTTTGCTGCACCCGGAGCCGTTCACGGTCGAGAACGACCTCTTGACGCCGACGTTCAAGCTCAAGCGCAACGACGTCAAGAAGCTTTTCATCAAGCAGATCGACGCGCTCTACGTCAAGACAGGCGACGTCGTCGCGGGCAAGAATGTCCATCAGAAGTAAGCACGCGTGTATAAAATATATGAGTGCACACTCTTCTCTTGTGGGTAATACTTACGAGGACGAGGAGGTATTGCTTGATCGAGCACGCCGTCAGATCGATCATTGCTGCTTGGCGACGACCCGCTGGCGCCTATGTTATCCGGACAAGCTTATCCGGATGAAATCGGCACCACGCTGCTGCTCGGCAGCTTGTCGACGACTTTGGAAGTTTTTTAAAGAGGCTCGTGTTTTGAGCGATATGGATAGAGCATAACGCAGGGAGTCCAAAAACCAAAGAGTCGTGCTCGTAGCGTGCCTACAGCCTGCGCTAGTTGCAATTGTAATGTGGTCGTTGGCTGATACATTGATACAGAGATACTAGATTCAGTATCAGTTTTTTCAAACTTGAACGACGCGCAGCGCAGGCTGTAGGCACGCTACGAGCACGACTCTTTGGTTTTTGGACTCCCTGCGTTATGCTCTATCCATATCGCTCAAAACACGAGCCTCTTTAAAAAACTTCCAAAGTCGTCGACAAGCTGCCGAGCAGCAGCGTGGTGCCGATTTCATCCGGATAAGCTTGTCCGGATAACATAGGCGCCAGCGGGTCGTCGCCAAGCAGCAATGATCGATCTGACGGCGTGCTCGATCAAGCAATACCTCCTCGTCCTCGTAAGTATTACCCACAAGAGAAGAGTGTGCACTCATATATTTTATACACGCGTGCTTACTTCTGATGGACATTCTTGCCCGCGACGACGTCGCCTGTCTTGACGTAGAGCGCGTCGATCTGCTTGATGAAAAGCTTCTTGACGTCGTTGCGCTTGAGCTTGAACGTCGGCGTCAAGAGGTCGTTCTCGACCGTGAACGGCTCCGGGTGCAGCAAAATGGCACGGACGCACTCAAAGCCGTTGAGACAAGCTCTCGCAGGGCGAGTACGTGGCCCCCGAGAAGATTGAGAACATCATCAAGGGCAGCGTGTACGTCGCCCAGCCGTTTGTGTATGGCGACTCGCTCCACTCGATGCTCGTCGGTATCATTGTGCCCGAGGA